TAAGGTAGGTGGGATGGTGATAGGTGAGTGCAGGTAGGGAGTGGTGAGGATTGGTCAGTGAGGTGGAAGGAGTGGATAGGTGGGGGAGAAGATGGACAGGTTGTGTTAGGTCAAAGAGGCGGGGATGAGAGGGACGGTTAGACATGGGATGAGGCCGGGGGTGGCGAGATTTTAAAACTGGTGAATTCCATGTTTAGGCCATCGGGCTATAGGCTCCCAAGGCAGAATATGAGGTGCTGCTCCTCCAGCTTGTGGCACCACTATGACACTGGAGGCGGCGCAGGATGGACATGTTGCCCAGGGAATGGGAGAGGGAGTTGAAATAGTTCACGACTGGAAGGTGTTGATGTTTGTCACAAACAGAGCGGTCTCACCGATGTAGAGGAGGCCACATTGGGAGCAGCGGATACAGTAGACCAAGTTGATGGATGTGCAGGTTAACCCCTGTCTGATATGAAAGGTTTGTTTTGTGCCTTGAATGGAGGTGAGGGCAGGGAGTGTGGGGGCGAGGTGTAGCACTTCCTACGGTTGCCGGGAGCGGTGGGGCTAGTGGGGAGTGTGGAGCGGATGAGGGAGTCATGGAGATAGAAATATTCCACAATTGAGAAGGAGACCTTGAGCATGGTGTTGGTGTTACAACATTTATATTGCCAGTAATCTGTCTGAGACAATTGAATACACTAATTATAATCCATCAAAGTTTTTGGAGACAAAAACAAAGTTGCTGGAAAAGCTCAGCAGGTCTGGCAGCATCTGTGGAGGAGAAAACAGAGTTAATATTTCGGGTCCGGTGACCCTTCCTCAGGCAAAGTTCTCCAAAGTTTTTGGAGAAATTGAAGGGCAAAAATTCCAGACTGTTTAGATGAGTTTTCTTATTGCAGCCATTCAATATGAAAATTATACATGTGGCAGGATGAGAAGTAAACAGACTGAAATAAATTGTAGTCGTAAATGCTTGTATGCCTAGAGTCAATGTAATGTCTATGTATTGTAGTCTACTAGTGGAGTATATTGATGGCTTTTTTTTTTAAAAAAGGGTGGGGGGGGGGGGGGAGGTGAGGTGAGGTTTGATGATGCTGTCAATTTAAGGTTATTTTGTCCTTTTTGAAAAAGAGATTTAAGGCAGAGGTGCTGAGTTATCTCTAAGTAAACAAACAATTTGAGGGGCCTTGGGCATTTTTTTTAAAAAAATTGGAATAATGGAAGTAACTTAGTTGTGGCCAGGTCTCTCATACCAGGCTTTCCAGTTTTATTTAGATTTAGTTTTAAGCAGAAGTATTTGCGGTCTCAAAATGTTAAAAGCTTCAGCGAATGTCTCCTAGCTGCTACTTTCTCTGAATTTTCTCCATTTTTTTTTCTTCCCCACTTGGATTGGAGAACTGCATGTGAGAATCTGTCTGAAATTGCCCTTTTTTGCCAAGGGGTGTGGTTATGGAATGTTACATTATTGACACAGTTCCTTAGTAAAGGTACTGATTCCATTATTCAGTTAAGTTTTCTAATAGTTATTATTCTAAATTGCACTCTTTTGTTTGTATTTTAACTATGTGTTCAAATAAATTCTGTTTTGCTTAACATCAAGTAGGTTGACAAGTTGCATGCAGCTGGAATACATCACTTCATGTCTACCTTGAACCTACCCTACCATTTGATACATTCATGGCTACCCTCATTCCAGCTTCAACTCCATTTTCCTGCCCACTCCCCATAAACCTTTCATTCCATTCCATTCCATTCCTAAAATTTAAAAATAAGTTTATCTCCTTCTTAAATTTACTCAATGTCCCAGCATCCATCAAACTGTGGGGTCACTAACTCCACAAATACTACTGTTAAAAAATAATTTTTCCTCAGCAGTTTTAAATCTGCTTTCCCTTATCCTAAGATTGTGACCTCTTGTTCTAAATTGCCCCAAAAAACATCCTTTTTACATCATTGTCAATCCCCTTTAGCATCTTTCAATTAGATCTTATTCTTCTGAAGTCCAGCAAGTATAAACCTAAACTGCTCAATCTCTCTTCACAAGAAAAAACCCTCACTTCTGAAAGCATTCTATTTCCTTGAGGCATTTGGATGTAAACCATTTGTTCTCAATAACTTGACATTGTTTAAAATTTTAAACAAATGTCCATGTCCACTAAACAGCTAAAAAAAAAAGCCAAACTATTTGCATTTTCACCAACTTCCTCACTATATTTAACCTTCCTCATTTCAATTAGATGGTAGAACAATAGCAGAGAAACAAGCCCTTTAGCTCACCATGTCTATGCCAACCATGATGCCATCCTAAACTAATCCCATCTGCCTGCACATGGTCCATATCCCTGTATTCCCTGCATGGGTCTGTCTAAATGCCTAACTTTGCTATTGTATCTGTTTCTACCACCTCCCCTACAAATTCATTTCGGGCATTTATCAATCTCTGCAAAAATATTTTCCTTGTACATTTCCTTTGAACTTTTCTCCTCTCACCTTAAACCTATGCCCCCTACTATTTCAGTCATACAACAGGGCAACAGGCCCTGCAGTCCAACCAGTCTATGCCAAACAATCCCAAACTAGTCCCACTACCGACTCCTGGCCCATATCCCTCCAAACTTTCCCTATTCATGTATTTATCCAAGTGTCTTTGAAATGTTATAGTTGTACCTGCATCTACCACTTCCTCAGGTAGTTCATTTTGCACACGAACCATGGGGTAAAAACATTTGCCTCATTTTTAAAAACATGCCTCTAGTCTTGAAATACCCCATTCTAGGGAAAGACAACTACCATTAACTCTATCCATACCCCTCATTAGGTTTATAAACCTAATCAGGTCATCTCTCAACCAGTGAGGCAACGGTCCAGTGACAAGTCTCAGCCTATCCAGCCTTTCTTTAGAACTCCAAGCTTCCATACCCAGCAACATCCTAGTAAATCTCTCTGAACCCTCTCCAGCTTAATATCATTCTTCCTATAACTGGGCAACCAGAACTGAAGACAGTATTCCAGAAGAGGCCTCACCAACATCCTGTACAACCTCAACATGACTTCCCAACTCTGATACTCAATAGGACTGAGCAATGAAGGCAAGGATGCCAAACATCTTTTTAACAACTCTGTCTATATGTGACACAAGCTTCAAAAGAATTATGTACCTGAACCCCTAGGTTCCACCACCTTCTCAAGGGCAACTAGGGATGAGCAAGAAATGCTGGCCAGCCAGCAACACCCACATCCCACAAGTGAATAGGAAGAAAGTCTCAGTTTACAATATACCTAACGTCCTACCATTAATTGTAAAAGCCCTACCGTTGTTTGTTGTTCCAAAATGAAACATCTCACATTCATCCAGTTGCAACTCCTGCCATTTTTCAATTCATTGACCCATTTGATCAAGGTCCCTTTGTAACCCTAGAAAACCTTCTTCACTGTCTACTATGCCATTATGGTGTTATCCGTGCTTACTAACCATACCTTCTTTATTTCCACCCACTGTTCATGCCCCTCAAATTTTATATTCTAAAAAGGTTGCTCCTCAGCCTCTGATGCTCAAGCAAAAACAATCCAAGTTTGTCCAACATCTCTTTACAGCTAATACACTTCAATCAGGCACCTTCTCCAAAGCCTCCACATTTCTTCCCACAGTGTGGTGACCAGAACTGCACACAATACTTCAAATGTGGCCTAAAGTTTTACACAGCTGCAACATGACTTGCCAACTTGCCCTAAACAATGAGCTCCTTTACCAACTTATCTGCTCATGTTGCCACTTTCAGGGAGTTATGAATTTCATCCCAAGATCCCTCCGTATATCAATGCTCCTAAGGGTTCTGCCATTTACTGCATACTTTCCTCCTGCAACTGACTTCCCAAAATGCATCATCTCATCCATCCAGATTAAATTCTGTCATTTCTCCAACCAAAAACTTTCCTACTGATCTATATCCTTTCGTAACCTTCCTCACTATCCACAACTCCAATTTGTGTCATCTGCAAAAACTTGCTAAATTGACCACCTACATTTTTGTCCAAATCATTTATGTACATTACAAACAGACATCCCAGTACTGATCCATAATACCACTGATCACAGACCTCCAGTCAGAAAAACACCCCTCCACAACAACCGGTCTTCTATGACGAAGTCAATTTTGTATCCAACTTACTATGGATCCCATGTGACTTAATCTTCTGGACCAGCCTACCATGAGGGATCTTGTCAAATACTTTCGTGAAGTCCATGTAAACAACAGCCACTGCCCTACCCTCAATCATCTTTATCACTTCCTCAAAAAAACTCAAATCAAGTTTGTGACACCTCTCCTACGTAAAGCCAAGCTGAATATCCCTAATCAGTCCATTCTTCTCCAAATAATTAGTTTAGTTCTTCCTTGATAATCTTCATATTGTTATACCTTCAACCCACATCGCTGCTTCCAGGTTTTAATTTGCAGTTTGATATATTTAAAAAAAAAAGTGAAGCTAAAATATTTTCTATATTAATTATCTTGGCTTTAAACTTTCATGATCCACCCTGCAAGTATTAACTTTCATTCACACAAATTTGATATGACCTCTTTGATCATCTGCAAAATTTAATCTTTGGTACACTCTTATTTACCACAGAACATAATGTATATGCATTCCATCTCCTGTCAAATATTTTAGTTAATCAATAGTTCTATTTACCATTTTACTTCTATTTAATCTAAGAACTTGATTTAAAAACTACTGAAGTTAACCAGGTTAAAAAAAGTCAGTTTGTTAAGGTTGTTCTGTGACATTTAATGCCTGTTTAATAACATTCAAAGATAAATAAAGTTTAAACTGTGGTGAAATAAGACCAGATAGAAAGCCATTCACTTCTGCACTAGAGCGGAGCTTTCTTCATCACAAGCCTGTCTTTACTTCCTTCATGGTGTTCTTATCTACGCCAAAAAAAAAAACAAAAAAAAAAACGCTTTTATCGCTAGATATTGTGAATGAGATGGCAGGCAATATATGGAGACAAAAGAGATCATTTCATAAAGTTTTTAATCCAAATAAATATATTTTGTACTTTAATATAATACATACATATATACACACAGACAAAAGAGATTGCAGCATATTGCTTTATCCATTTCTGAAAGAGAAAAGACACTGATTCAAAATATTTTATGGTAGCATGTCTCACAGTGTAAAGATTCTAACAAGTAAATAAAAAGGATCTTAGATTAAAAGGCCTCTAGTCACATACAACAAACTGTAATGAGAAATGTCTGGCAGATTGTTGATGGTAATAAAAAACATTATTCAGTTTCCAGTTCAAGTTCAATGTTGGAGTATATGTGCAACTATAATAAATGTAAACTGGTCTGGGCCTAGCACTGACATATTTTCATTGCTAAAATACTGAATACCAGATTCCTTCTGACCATTGTAAATTCTTTTGGATGCCATGTTTCAGTGTGCTAAACCAGATATTTTGCATATATTACTGCCGTTTATAAAAAAAAAGTGCTCAGCAGGCAGCAATTGTAATGATAATATAGCCACATTTGAAAATTCTTTAAAGTGTTAACAACAGCGCAAAACAAAATTTTGCATCTGTATATAGTCCATTTAGTTTAGAACACATACCAGAACGAACACCAAAGACGAATACAACTTAAATCTCAGGTGACATTATCTGGATAAACGTTCATGTGAGCCATTTTCTTGTAACAAATATATATATTTTGCTCATTTTGGTTTTAAATTTTAGAACAAATACAAGAAGCTTGCTGCTTTAAAGCAACGTTTCTATGAAAATGCCTATGAAATTGTAAAAATTCAATCATACTACAAACTGGTGAAGAATCTTCATGTGAAATAAAAACATAATTACTGTTTAACAATTCACAGTAACACTGGATTTTTAAAAAAAAAACCACAATCATTACCTCAAACCAAAATGTTCATTACCTTTCAGAACAGGTTATGTTTGACAGAGGTTGTTAGAAATTAGAATAAAACATCTCAAAATGATTGCCAGTGTTTTATACCATATAAAAATCATATGAAATTAAGTATTTCCAAAATATCAAACAGGGAATGAATTGGTGGTGTGGGGGAGGGGCAGAAAGAGAAAGCCCTGTCAGAAATCACCAGGACAGAGAGAGAGAGGGGAAAAACTGGTAAAGCAATTTCTTTCTTGCTACAGTTAAAGTGTAAAGAATCACTGTGGTTTAACTCAAAAATAGAGACTAAAAATGGCCAAGAGCTGGAGAATAATTTTAAAGTGTAAAACAGTAAAAGAAAAAAAAGGTACAGAGATTCATAACAAGATATCTGCATACAATAATGGCACAGAATGTGGAAGCTAGATTGCACTCAAATCAAATAGCTTCTCTGGTATAACAAGCAACAGAAAACAGATGCTTGTCCTTTGAAATTAATTGTTAATTCCAAATGAAATGGCTATTTGCATTTGTTTCTATATCAATTAAGTAGATTAAAACTTACAATTTTTTTCTGTTTACAATAGGAATAAAACTCAAAAGGAACATGAATACATGATAAAATGTTTATAAAACAAAAAAAAAGTTTTCCAGAGATGTATCAATTCAACAATTACAAGTGCAAGAAAAATATCCAAGACACTGTTGTCAGATCACACAATAGAGTGAAAATAGGGTGATCAAGCAAATTCCCCAAAATAGTGTCTTCATATGCTCAACCAAGCAAAGATAAACTTGATGGCAGAAAAGCAATGAACAATTTGTTAGGCCAACAAAAAAAAGCCAAACTGTTGGGCTCAAATACAGGAGTAAAACCAATTGATATTCACGTACACAACACTTTCTCAATGGTACAGAACAATTGCAAATCCAAGTGAAAATAAAATGAAAATGCTCAATATCAATTTTACTGCAGTAAAATTAATGGCAATGAGCAAAATCATATACTACAATAATCAAGACCTGTTGGTCTGGTGAGAACAGGCACTGACCAGTAGTATTGAGATTGAAGAGAAGACTTTAAATTGATGCCTGAAGTATTTAGTGTAACTGTTGAGGTGGGGGTGGGGGGTGGTGGTGGAGGACAACAGGTGGTTCAACTTCAGTATTTCCCCCACTCCCATTCCCTTCCTCACCAAATCAGCAAAACCAATTGTTCTGATGAGAATTTTCCCAAGCATTCCCTTTTCTGCTTTCATATTGCATTGGAAACCCCGTTAAACCATGTCGGATAGGGTTAGGGTTAGGGTGGTGTAATAATCACCCATCAACTGATTCAACCTAAAAAAAAAGAGAAACATTACTACTTGTCTCCAAACTATGATTAATTTCTAAATTTAAAAATAACTAAGTTTGCTCATGATAGTTCAGCTTCAATCTTGAGTGTCCTAATCGTTAACACTCACTTTCTTTTAAGAAAAACTAATTTGATTCTTACAGCTTTGTACTTCTCGACTGGTTGGTTGGTTGGTTGGTTCATTGCCTGCCTGTGAATGCTTTAACATCTCTGGCTGCTTATGTAGCATAACTTGCTGATGCAGTCTCGGAATTGCTAACACTATCAGCAACTGTACACAGAAGGAGTACTTAAAAGTTTTGCTGGAGATTGCTAGCTTCAAAAGAGATCTTTGTTCAACAGCCTTTAATCCACCAACGACTGCAAAATTCAAACCATTGTCGCTACGGAACAACAAGCTTTCAACCTGTGGCACCAGTACTTTGATATCAAACTCTCCCAAATCAGAGGCAGCACATTTCCCCACAGCTTGCAGTGATACAATTAACCCCAAACATTAATACTAGCAAGTTTCTTGCCATTCCATAAAGAAAGCATTAGTAACTTCTAGAGGTGGAACTGGTGGTTTGATAACATTTGCACAGTACATCAACATTATATTTGAATAGAATGATTGCATTCTGATTTGAATTTCAACACACTAGACATTCCGATTAAGACATTGGACAGGACTCTCAAACTGCAAATCTCAACATTTTGTACAAGCAGGTCAAATTGTCCCATTCACTCAGTTCCATGTACATAGCATTTACTCAGAACTTCACCTTTTTTTGTTTTACATTCCAGGTCTGCTACTTTTTTTACAATGGACAGTTGTGTTATGCAAACTTGCAATTACTAGGAGGGACTGACTTCAGAGAAGTCTACATTTAAAAGAAACTACTTTCCAATCAATATCTCTGCCTTACTACAGCTGGGAAGAAAGAACAGTTCCAACCCACGTTTCTCAGACCATTGCAAGTACATCTTCTTGACTGTAGGTTTCTTAATGTGTTCAAAGGAATGGCTCACTACCCAGTTTAATTATACAATTTGAACAATTTTTTTTAAACCTGGTTGATTGGACTTTGTTTTTCATATATGGATTAGATCAAAAAGATAATACTGATAAACACAATTTTCAAAAACATTTGGAATGCAGCTTTAAAATCCCATCAAGTCAAATATCACAGTGATCGAAGCCGTTGTCGGGTTACAAATACCAATACACGGCGAATTGCAATAAGGCGATCTTTGAGTGAGGTCATTGAGAGAACAGCTAGCTGAGCACGACTTTCTAAAGGTAATACAGCTAACAGCCACCAGCACCACGCAGGACCATTTTGACTTGACTGCAACAACAAACAAAAAAAAAAATTTTAAAAAGTCAAGTGTTTTTGTACTCAAATGCCATCTCTTTTAAACCATATGCTGCAAAGGAATAGAAAGAAGATGTCCCACACCAATTACCACTTTACCTTGGTCTCTAAATATGAACTGTTGTAGGTTTCAACAGTTAAAATAAAACAATACATTAAAAAACATTGGGTTTTAAAATCAGACGTTCATGTTTTCTTCTGGACATGCAAAATTTTCATGGTGGAATCTGTGACAGAAACCAAACTCAGTTTACTCTTTCACAGTCATGAGATTCTTTTCCCTCTAACATGTTTGATTTTGGTTGAAGACCTTCATTCAGTTGACTGCTAGAGGGTATTTATTAAAGTTGGATTTCTTCCTCCCACCCCATTGTAGCAAAGATCAGAACTTGAGAAACACAGCACTAGCAAGAATTGTTATTATGGAATAAATTAGGGTGACATTTCTGGCATCCATGCTGGGAAATTACTGCCCTGAAAACAACAGTCACAGAGAACATCAACAGTACCTTGCTAAAGAGTCAGTAATGCAATATTATGAAGTTGCTGTACCTGCACTATAGCTCCCTACTAAACGTGCAGTGAGAATTAGAGCTGCTGCATTCAGTAGTAAGTAAATATTTAACAGGTGGCAGTTCAATTTTAGCAGATATTGAAAGGTCAGAAGTGTTAAGTCTCATTTCTTCACAAGTTACTGCAATCATTACTATCAAATCTTCCTCAACAAAAAAACCTATTAGTTGAAGAAACTTGGTAATGTTTGCCTGAAAAGGCATCACTGACCCTTCTAGAAAGCACTGTTGATTAGACAATGAAGTAGAATACATCGATACTCAAAAAAAAAAGTGGTATGGCAACATTGAGTTGTTACTAGACTAGTAACCCAGGGGATAATTAAAACTCCAAAGTGACTAGGGAATTCAAATTTAATTAAATAGTTAGCATTAGTAAGTGTCCAGAAAACTACCAGGTTCTCAAAATCCCATCTGGTCCCCTAATGTCCTTTTAGTAGTAAGCATGCCTGCCTTAAGTGATTTGGCCTATACATGACCTCAGACCACACAAATGTGGTCAACGGTTCCCTGCACTCCGAAATGATCCAGTGAGATATTGATGCATCCTCACCAACCTGTCACAAGTGGCAATATTGGAGAAAAAAAAAAGTGATCACCAGACAGTAAGTCTTCATGAAAGTGAATTGACATCTTTTATTGTGCCAAGTGGTACTATGCTAAAAGGGTTTGATTCAGAACAAGTCTAGCAGCTGAAAACTAGACATGTGTTAACTAGTAGATTTATTGTGCTAATGATCTGTTGGCACAATTTATAACAGCACAACCGTCACTCTATGATTGCACCAAACATGATTCAGAGAGTGGTACAGAAAAGCATGCCAGTAGCAGCACATGGTACACCTACATGTAAAATGCTGCCTTGGCAAAAATCAAACAGGACTATTTCAGTGGAATCACCTGCTACAGACAGAACTAAAGTGATCTCAAAAGAAAAACTCAGTATTCTGACCATGTCCACCGATGAATGGTGGAGGATAGAAAAACTGGGAGGATGCAACTCCATGAACACTTCTAATCTCAAATGGTGGCAGAGCTCAGATGTTTGCAACCAGCTTTCATTTGAAGTGCCACGTGAATAATCTACTCAGCCTGCTCCCGAAGTCCCTACCATCATAAAAAGCCAGTCTTCAGCCAATTTCATCTCTCCATTTCAAAAGTTACCTCTAGAATTGGTCATGCTTCTAGTCAAGGTTTTCCAGTACAATTACCAAAAACAAAATAAAAACTGCAAAGGTTTGTTCTGTCTAAGAAAAAAAAAGGACAAATTGAAAATTTGTCTAATTTTCATCCCAGCCTCTCAGTGATCTAAGGGGTCATCGACAATGCCATTCACAAACACTCCACAACACGCTGCTCCATTCCACATCTCATTATTGCTCTTGTCCAAAGATGGACAAGAACAGAATTCCAGAGACATGGTCAATATGATTACTCATGGCAGTGTTTTACTGAGTGGGGGCATCAGGGAGCTGTTCTAAAATGAAAATCATTGGGAATCAGGGGGAAAATATTTCCACTAACTGGCATCATAGCTGGTATCAAAAAGGAAAAATGACTGACTGTGGTTGTTGGTGGCCAAACATCACAGCCAGAAGGCATTCCATCTGGAGTCTAATCTTCAATCACTCCGGAAGGTTGGAATCAGAGATGCTCACTGATAACCAGTTTTCAGTTCCATTTGCAACTCTTCTGATGTAGTAACCCATGCTCAATAGCAGCAAGCCCTTGACAACTTTCAGGCATGGGCAGACATATGACAAGCAACATTCCTGCCAAACAATGGTGATCTCCAAGAGAGTCTAACCACCTTCCCTTGGCATTCAAAATAACATTACTACAGCCAAATTATGTCATCTCAGGGTCAGCTTTGACCAGAAATCAAAACACTATGGCTACAACAGCTATCAGCAAGGTGTACAGAGATAGCCTTTCCTTGGTCACTGACCACAAAACACAGACCATCATTTAATATTTGAAAAGCATTTACATCCTACTACTCTGTAGTGCTCACAGATGCTCCAGCCCATGTTTTGTTTACCTCAAGCAACTGACATTAGTTGATTAGTTCTAAAGCAGTTACATTGCTAAATTATTATGGACTTCTATCACCTTCAGAAAATGTACAGCATAATACTTTTGCAATGAATTGTGTGTACCTGAGGTATTGGCTCCTTGCCAGGCATTGGTCCAAAATGATTCAGAATTTGAGTTCTCATGTTGTCCTTGAGGGAACTGAACCAAGTGAAAGCTTGGTCATATACGGAGTCAGACAGACAGACTAGTTCATGATACTCTTCTCCTTCCACCTTGGCAATCAATCATGAAAGTGAAATAAAATTGAGTAACTTTGCAAAACTGAATTAGTATCTACAGTTTCAAAATATCAAAAAAAAATTAAACCTGCAATTACATTGGATTTCATTAGCATATCCCCAAATTAGATAAATTCTTCAAATCTCATGCAATTTAATCTTGGTGTTCAGTCCAAAGTAGTAGCAAACTGCACCTCCAGTAATCCACTGAATTTCTATCGTTTTGGTTTTTAAATAACAAATATGAAGCGTAAGACACTTGAGCTGTGGGACACACATTGGTATACGAGTCTGACTGTAGCTTTTCCAAAAAGTGAGGATTGGGACCGTCTTCTTAATCTAAGAAAATAAAGGGGCTGGAGAGACAGAAATTTTGTAATTTTAGTTGAAGGGAGACATTACTACAGTGGTAAGGTCACTGAACTAATAATCCCCAGGTCCAGGCTAGTGTTTTAGAGACACATTCAAATCCCAAAGAGGCTGGTGGGATTTTAATTCAATTATTAAAATCTTGTCAAAAACAGATGGCAAATAAAATGACCAACAACCAATAAAATCCATTTGATTCACTAATGTCTTTTAGGGACATTAAAATCTGTTGACAAGTAAAGACATCAGTGACTCAGTAGTTAGCAGTGCTGCCTCAGCGCCAGGGACCCAGGTTCGATTCCACCCTCAGGTGACTGTCTGTGTGGGTTTCCTCCCACAGTCCAAAGATGTGCAGGCTAGGTGCATTGGCCATTCAAAATTGCCCCATAGTCTTGAGGGATGTGTAGATTAGGTGGGTTATAAGGGAATGGGTCTGGGTGGGATGCTGCAAGGGTCAGTGTGGACTTGTTGGGCTAAAAGGGCCTGTTTCCACACTGTAGGGATTCTATGATCTATGACATGTTTACTCCAAATCTACGCTAATTGGTAACTGCTCTGTGAAATGGTATAGCAAGTTCCTCAGCTCAAGGTCAATAAAAGGGAGGAGTTATCCAGTGACATCCAGATGTTATGAAATAATTAGTTCTGATGAATACTTGGGCCTTGTATCCAGGTAGAAATGCTGATTAACTATCTTCTGATCCCTAATTCCCATCCATCTTAGTTTACCTTATAACCACTTGTGGAATTTAACATGCCTATCACTTCCAAGAGGCTTGGAGACTATGTATGAATATCTTGCAGTTTCCTACCAGGGAGGCAACCCAAGCCCGTTTTTAAACTCCAATAACTGAGCCTATTGTCATGCTGAATTCAGAATGGTCACATGCAATGTTCTGCTACAACCTTTTTTTCCATCCTTGTGCAGAATGAAAACAAAAATGTGTCATGAGTAATAACAATAAAAATTCTATATTATATTTCATTTTTATGAAGTTACCATAGGTATGGAAGAAGAAAGCTTGTTCTTTCCCTCAGGGGAAAGGAGGAATAGGGAGATTTCGAGGCAGCTATTTCTGCACCATGAGCAGAGAACATGCTGAATCTGTAGGTTATACAGTTTAGGTGTGAAGCAAGCTGCAAAGATGACAAAAGGAGACCTCAAAAAGATAAGTCCGGTCAACTGAGCAAAAAAAAAAAAAAAAAAAAGGGGATAAAAAAAAATAAGGGGGACAAAAAAAAAAAAAAAAAAAAAAAAAAAAGTGTGAATAGAATACAATGTGGGCACACAAGCAATTAGTCACATCAGTAGCAAAGACAGAAGAGCAGAAGAAGTATTTTTTAAAAAGTAGATATGAAACTTTTCAATGTGGATATTCAGAGATACATGAAAGCTGAGTAAACCAGAATCCCATTTTCCTTCTCAATTGCTTGCTGTATCCGCAGGTTAACTTGTATTCTTTATTACTGAGTATATTGAAGGCTGAAATAGATAATGTTTTGGTTTAATGGGCTGATGACATACTCCTGTTCCTATGTTTTTATTTTTAAAAATCTCACTTTCTGACAAAGCTATTTTCACCTTCATTAATTAAAACTACACCACCTTGCTTCTCAACTGCATTAAAGGAACAGTAAGAACATTACACTGCCCAATCACACTTGTTCCAGAAGATTTTGTGTGTGATTATGCACACTGATTTTAACAAACACAAAGCTGAAACCCAACTGTCACTATTTAAAAGCGCATTGTCCGTGCACCTTAACCTTTTCAATAAATGAAATGGCAAACATCAATTCAGGCCTTTTTTCCTTAAGAATGGTCTCAAGGAGTTTAGATTATTTGAGACAGATCATAGAACTATTTCAAACTGGAATTTAAGTGGTACACTACAGCTCAAGTGGGAAGATGTTCTAAACAAATCTGGAAACATTTACCTTTTTATCTTCAAGATATTCAATGTTGGCTGTATTATAACCATCTCTTTGGCCATGGCTTAAAACTTTAAATCGACTCTTGCCAATTGTATCAACTACAGAACGACCATCAGGAAAAAACTTTACATCCCTTATTTCGAGCATGCAGCCATAATCAGCAAACCTGAAGAGAAAAAAAAAGGCAGTATAGAGTAATCTTAATCACGCCAAGGTCTTAGCCAGCAAATCTAAATTTAATCAAGCATCTTTTGCATCTAAAGGCAAATCATTTCAACATGGCTGTCTGCTCCATCTGAATAACCGGAATCACATACGTACAAGATATGATTGCCATTTCAAACAGGGATACAAAAAGCCCCGTCGTGAACCTGTCCAGGAATCCATTAATCCAGCAGAGAAAAGTACTTAGTGTTGCAACATGCCCCCTCTTTTTCATGTGGGGGCAGGAATCTGGCTTGGGGATGCTCAGAGGTCTGGGTGGGAGATGCAGTTGAGAGGAGGAGTGCAGAAGTCAGTGGTGAATCAAGGTATTACTTTAAACAGTCATCCAGCAGTTGGGTGAGGTTTTTCAATCCTCTAACTTTCCCTAGCGGAACACAGAACACGGAACAGTACAGGTCCTTCGTCCCACAATGTTGTGCCATACTTTTACCCAAATCCTAAGGTCTATCTAACTTCCCCCCCTACCTTATACTATCATCCATATGCCAATCTAATAGCCACTTAAATGCCCCTAATGAGGCAGACTCCACTACCTTCTCCGGCAATCCATTCCGCACCCTGACCACTCCGAGTAAAAGAACCTACCTCGGACGTCTCCCCTACATCTACCTCCCTTCACTTTAAAGGTATGTCCCCTCGTAAAAGCTACCCCCACCCTAGGAAAACGTCTCTGGCTGTCTACTCTATCTATACCTCTGGTCATTTTGTACATCTCTATCAAGTCACCTCTCATCCTTCATCGTTCTAAAGAGAAAAGCCCTAGCTCTCTCAACCTTTCCTCGTAAGACCTTCCCTCCATTCCAGGCAACACCCTGGTAAATCTCCTCTGCACCTTTTCCAACGCTTCCACATCTTTCCTGTAATGAGGCGACCAGAACTGGACACAATACTCCAGATGTGGCCGAACCAGGTGCTGGAGCATAACTTCACGGCTCGAACTCAATCCCTCTATTAATGAAAGCTAACACACCATACAGCTTCTTAACAACTCTATCCACCTGGGTGGCAGCTCTCAGGGAACTGTGGACATGAACCCCAAGATCCCTCTTCTCCTCCACACTGCCAAGAATCTTTCTGTTGACCCTGTATTCTGCTTTCAAGTTTCTCCTTCCAAAATGAATCACCTCACTTTTCAGGGTTAAACTCCATCTGCCACTTCTCAGCCCAGCTCTGCATCCTATCAATGTCCCTTCGTAACCTAGAACAGCCCTCCGCACTGTCCACAACACGACCCACCTTCGTAGCGTCCGCAAACTTACTAGACCGCCCTTCCACTCCTTCATTCAAATCATTTACAAAAATCAAATAGAAAAGAGGACGCAGAACAGATCCTTCTGGTACACCACTCATAACTGAGCACAATGTTGAATATTTTCCATCCACCACCACCCTTTGGATTCAGAATTGGCTGACCCTTGGAAGACAATCTGCCACATTTCCCCCGATCCCATGCCTCCTTACCTTCTGCATGAGCCGACAATGGGGAACCTTATCAAACGCCTTACTTAAAAGTTCTTAGATATTAAACAGAGGGTTCCAGATAGAGGAACTGTCCTTCTGAAAACTTAACGTTCCAAACAATTTCCATGGAATCAGTCATATCCAGAATTCCCAACAGTTCTGCCAGAGCCAACTCAACTATTTAATGGGAGTTGACCAAAAAAGGTCAGAGGATGTCTCTTTGTAATCTGTGCCATCAAGACCATTGTAAACCTAACCAAGGAAGTTTTGCAATTCAGTATGTATACCTGTGATGGAATACAACTCCTGGTGAACATAAAAGCCTTACATCAGAAGTTGCTGGCAAAACTCAACAACCTCCAATTGTGTTGCAAAATGAGATCTCCAAATGAAACAGAGGCAAAACTGTAGTACTTTGGGACAGAAGTGGTGCCACATGTATGCAGGGAGTGGTACAACCATTTATGCACGTCTCATCTTTGTTATACTGGCTAGTGTTGCAGAAATCTAGTGCACGATTGAGGTAAATGTTTAGTTCTGGGAAGATTATCGCTGTAAAATGCTGGAAGTCAGTGACTGCCAGAACACCTACGAGATAACTTTCTGAACTGCTTTTCTTATGTTTGATAAAGGCCTGAATATAAAGAAAAAGAAATAATAGAACAGAAGGTGGGATTAGTAACTGGAGAAATTGAAAGTGAGGGATAATTATCTGAAAGGTCAACCCAAAACAAGTCACAATTTTATGGAGATAGCTAGAGTTTAGGAAGGTTCTTTAGTTTCAGCTTATCTGGATTTTTGCTGGGAGAAGCTTTTAGTTGCAACTTGGACTGGTGTCGTTTACAACTTGCTGAGAGAGAGTGGTTAGCGAAAATAAGTTACTGTTAGATAAACCCATGCTGTAAACCGAATAAACCACTAACTCAATTTCAACCTGCAAAAAAGGTGGTGGGCAAGGCTTCATTTCATGAGCAATAAAAGCCAGAAGATTCTTTGGTTTTAAGGAGAAAAAAATCAGTGGGAGAAGCTGCAATAGGCCTCAGGTGTCATATTGCAAAAAGATTCAGCAACCAGATTAATCTTGGAAATATTTGAAAAAGTAAATATAAGCAAAAAGGAATGGGGATACAAAGCTCCACAATGAAGACAGCAAAAGTTTACCATTGAGAACAGCTGGAGCCAAGGAGAATTCTCCAGAGAACTGGTGTTTCCTTATGTATGGACCTACAGGTTGATGTGTCTTCAGAAAGAATTATTGGGGGAAGAAAGTAAATTACCACGCATAACGGTTATAACCATATAAAGTTAATCATGTTAATTTCAATCTTTTTATACACTTTAAAAGATAAAAAGTGAAAATCATGGCTTGTTTTATTAGAAATGTGAAGTCTTGTGGCATGATTCTATTGGCTAATAAAAGGATTCAGATTTCTTTTTAAATGTGAGTGGTTCCTAACTGAATCACAACACTACTTAAAAGTATAGCAACATTTGCCTGTTATTCATGTCTTCAGTAATTCATAATTCAATGCATCAGCACTGGATCATGTTGTTAGGTTACAAGGCAACTAAAAATCTTTGATCATTTTTGAATTTGATATTACAGCAAACATTGGTTTAACCAGCACCCTCCATAAACTGGCAAAAATTGTATACCCAAAATAATGAAAGTTTACAGTATTACTGCAATCTCCAAGTAATCAGTTGAGGGTGCAAGGTGAGAGGGCCTTCTGCCAGTAAAGTTTTGATAATGCAACTTTGCCTTAAAAAAAGTGATTTATGCCGTAAATAAAGTAAAACAGTGATGTTTATACCCCCTGCATTACTTTTCTATTCCTTACTGTGTGTTTTTACATTGATTATGTGGACTTCTACTAGCACATGCCCGGGTCCCATTTAGGTGGTAAAATTTCATTATTTTTATTTACCATTTGCCCACTGGAATTCAAAATCACATTGTTGAAAAAAAAAGCAGTACGACAGTCTCAATCTCTGGCAAAATATGCCATTGTATAATAAAAAAGTGAGGAATTGAAAAATAAACTCTCATACAAAACACTTTTCAGATTATCAGGACATTTCAAAACTATTCAAGTATTTCTGAAGGGTGATCACTATCATAACATATGGAAATAAAGCCAATTTATGCTCAAAAGGTCTCAACAGCAATCAGATTAAAAGATAAATTACATTGGCTGAATGTTAAAATGAGGAAGATTCTAGGAAATCCCTCCTGCGATTTGAACAGTGCCTTTAAAGAATTTTCATGTACACCTGAGCAAGCAAACAGGCACTTTAAGATCTTACATCTCCAAATATGGCACTCAATTGTCAGAGATTAACATGGTCTCATCTGTGGAATGGGCTTTAATCAAATACCCTTTGGGTTCAGGTGAAAGCGATAGAAGTATCAGCCTTGATTCAGCACTATGAACATTTCAAGTTAGCTCGTGGAGACAAAGGTAGATGCACGTTCTCACTTACCCTTTAGTCTCATTTCCAATGCACATTCCAAATTGCTTGGTGCCAGTTTCCATACACCTGCGAATCATCAGTCGATAACGCGGTTCAAAAACATGAAGAGGGCATGGAATAGTTGGGAAGCCCATGGTGCAGACAAAAATTGGAACATCTTCAGTTAGGCTATGGATAATAAAAACACATTTCACTCACTGGTTCTCTTAACCAGATATTAGTTGAGGTAGAAGTATTAGGAAAAAAAATCAAGGAAACTGAAGCTACAAACAAAAGCATTTAAAAAAGAAAAAAATAAAAATAATCAGGCATAGGGTAGTGAGTGGGTGTCATTAAGTTAGAGAATGACTCTGGTACTTTGAGAACCAAAGCAAAGTGGACTTAAGTAGAAAGCAATGGCGGAGCACATCTTCAAAAAAAAAAGTGACTGCAGGATAGAGAACAGTCATAACAATAACTACTAGATGGTGTCCAAGTTTAAAAAACCCAGTTTATACTGTACAGAAATTCATTGATGTTGTAATACTGAGGCAATTCCAACCAGTCAGTATTAGCAGTTACCTTTCATTTCAGTTCGTTGTTCTTGTCACATTAACCTATCCTGTTCCCATGATAACATTTCTCTCATTCAACATTTCTCTCATTCATTTATTTAAAATCTAATATGAAATATTGTATTTTTTGGCTCGAATAGTAACTCTGGAAGTGAGATTAGACAGCCTTGACTTTGTGTAAATTAACATCCCTTGCTTAGTTTAAATCTTTCATATTTAATTCTCTGCCATTTTGAATGCTGAACTACTATAAACATTGTTTTTCTGTTTAACTTGACCCATTATTGAATTAATTAGGTCTTCATGCCTGCTAAGATCTCCAAAACTATTCTCAGTTCCACACCTTTCCCGCCATCTATTCCATCTTAAGATTTCTATAAATTTGTTCACTGTCTTAAGTCACGGTATAAACAGTTTTTAAATATATCTACTTTTAAGCTTGGTCATTAACTAAAAATCCCAGACAGCTGGCCCTACACATTTGTATGCAAAACATAGCACGAGACAGCACAGGAACAGGCCCTTGGCTCACTGTCTGTGCCGAACAGGATGCTATTCTAAACTGATCCCATCTGCCTGCACATGGCTCATATTCCTCTATTCCCTGCCTGTTCACATATCAATATGCCAGTGAAACGTTGTTATTGTATCTGCTTTTACTACTTCCCTGACAGCACATTTCAGGCACCTAGCACCCTGTGGAAAAAAAAAAGCTTGCTTCGCATGTCTCCTTTAAAAAAAACTTTCCCCATCTCACCTTAAATCTATGGCCCCTAGATTTTGACATTTCTAGCCTGGGCAGGGGGAGACTCAGCCTACCCACCCTATTCATGCCTCTCAATCTTATATACTTCTATCGGGTCAACATCGGCCTCCAACATTCTTGGATTGTTTTCGCTAGTTTGTCCAACCTCCCCTTATACAGGAGAGTAGATGCTGAAAATTAATCTCTTATTTTTGCTTGTTAGCATCCTCAAACATCATTTTACAAATAGTTCAGCATGCAAAGGGTCAATGGGTCATGATGCGACTAAGGCCTCACAGGCAGCAGATTTGAATGATTAGTTTGCATACAGGAGAATGTAGGAGCCCGTCAAGAAATACATTGGAAGTCAGGACTAGAGGCAACAAAGGCATGAAGAAAGATTAAATAGCAGACATGCTATGTTGAGTGATGTTGCAGAAGTAGAAATAGGCAAACTTAAAGTGAGTTTCCAAACACATCCACACCATTAAGCTCAAACATGCTGCAATGACTCTGACCAATATTTTAACCCAATGGTTCCAGTCTTCCCGTTACTCGAAGCCTTTGCTCATCCAGTACGGAGAAAAAGTCAAGTGAGGTAGCAATGGAGGCAAGATGCGATAATGGCAGGGTAAATGCAAGGTGAGACATTCCTGGGATAATGGAGGCCAATTTTGTAGCAGGAGGAACTGGATCCCACTTGAATTGATCTGGGACCAATATGCTTGCAGAGATAGCAAGAACTGGAGTCAGAAATAACAGTGTGGAGCTGGAGGTACACAGCAGGCCAGGCAGCAGAGAAGCAGGAAAGTTGATATTTTGGGTCGGGACCCTTCTCCGGAAGTTTCTGAAGAGATAGATTGTTCATTAGTAACGGGATCAAGGGATATGGGGAACGGGCATGCAAATAGGGTTGAGAAACAGATCAGCCACAAATCAAACGGTAGAGCAGACCTGATGGCCTAATTCTGCGCCATATCTTATAGAATAGTACAGGGGTTGAAAATAAAAAAAGGTTATGGAACATTAGACACAATATATAATTGTTTTATAGATAACAAGGTGTAGAGCTGGATGAACACAGCAGGCCAAGCAGCAGAGGAGCAGGAAAGCGGACGTTTCCGGCCTAGACAACTTCTTCAGATTTTCCACTTCTGAAGAAGGGTCCAGACCCAAAACGTCAGCCTTCCTGCTCGGCCTGCTGTGTTCATCCAGCTCTACACCTTGTTATCGCAGATTCTCCAGCATCGGCAGTTCCCACCATCTGACATACAAAATATAAAACAATTTTTTATTTGTGTATTAAAAAAAGGGGCAGACATGACTTAGTTTTATTTTAGAATTTTGAGGCTTTTGCACCAGGAAATCTGCAGACCTGTTTGCAGTTTTAATGACATTTTACAACGCAAAGAAAGGGTTGTATGGTGGTTGTTAGTACATTTAAAAAAAAAAGGTGGAAATAGCATGGCTACAGGGTTGAGGAATAGACAGAAAATTCCAGAAATCAGTGTGAACATGTCAAAGAGTGGAAGCAGGAGGGTTAGACTCAAGAAATCCTGCAATACTACTGAAAGAACTGAGTTTAGGCAAACATATGCTTGTTTTAGATATCAGCTGAAAAAAAAGTCTAGTGAATGTAGTGGAAGGAAACCAACTGCAGCTGTGCCAGCCTGAGCAAGAACCCTTAGAGAGAGGGAGCAGTGGCAAATTGTCACTGATGTTTGACGTTTGTAAAGTTATTACTAGGATGAAAAAGGAAGACAGCACAACAGCATGCAACCTTTTGCAAGTATTGGTACGGACCACTTTCTACTCTTTTTTTGGTCTGGGGTGATATAGTTTTTTTTTTTCCTTGTTTAAATTAAGATTTTACTTGGTATTAAAAGTACTCGTGATCATAGTGGAAAAACAGTTGGGATCTATCAAGCTAGTTTCACTCGGAGATGGACTTGTCCAGGATAAGTATCAACTGGGACCATGATATGGGGGCTCAAACAGGATCTGAAATTTGTGTGTTTTGAGGAATGTGTGAATTCTTAGAGAAACGGGTATGTGGAGTCTCAATGAAGACTATTACACAAGATGAAGCTTTTAAATTACTTTGGTTGTTATGAAGACTTTTCTGGCAACAGTAGTATTTGGAACCCTTGAAAACAGGCTAACTAGAATATTAGATGTTTAATTAAAGCAGGCTCTCATAAGGATAGCATGATTAAAGTAATTATCCAGCATTTAGAAATAAAAACGAGAGAAGCCTGGAACTTATGTATCATTGCAAGAATCAGCCAAGATTCAGATGCAACTTAAACTTGAACTGGAGTAAAAAGAGAGCAACAGAGTGAAACTAAAGAAGTGAAAAAGAAAAAAAATGAAAAGTAACAGCTTCAATTGTGGAGGAGAAAAATAATTATCCTGATTTCACTGAGGAGTTCAGTTAAAATAAACCTTGGCCCAAATATACAGAGGATGGAGGTAATAGATATTTGACCTTATTTGAAAGGCAGATATGAAGTTTAAGTAACTTAAATCTTAAAATATTACACAGTGGGTTTGATAGCCACAACTATGAATGCAAACACAGTCTGACAGAAGAGCAAGCTATGAAATGCTTATGAGCTTGTCCCTAGGTGGGGAAATAGCCACATGGGAATCAAATGGACACATGAAAGCAAATTTAGTTTGACGCTAAAATAGGTGGGTTAAGTTGCAAAGAAAAAAAATTTACAAGTGGACATGCTTGCTTACTTACATGAACAGACCAAAAAATTTGACAGATGAAGTTTAACATGGGTAAGCGTAAGGTTATCCATTTTGCTTGAAGACAAAAGCACCCTTTTAATCTAACTGGAGCGAAACTAGAGTGCTTCAGTGCAGAGGGATCTGGGTGTCCTCAAATGTGCAATTGCAGATAACTAGAATGCAGTACAACAGGTACTAAGAGTAGAGAAGTGTTGCTGCAACTGTACAAGGCATTAGTGAGACTGCACCTGAAATACTGTGTATTGTTTTAGTCCCCTTGAGGGATGCAGTTGCTTTTGAAGGCTGTTCATAGGAAATTCATTACATTGATTCCAAAAAGGTGTAGGATTGCTTGAGAGATTCAGCAATTTAGGCCTGTTGTCTCCAGAAATTAGGAGAAAAAAGGAGAGAAGAAATTAAAAAGGTACAAGATGCTAAAGGAGATTGATAAAGTGGACACACATATTTTTCTCTTGTGGAGCAATCTAGAACAAGAAGGTCAAAATTTTAAGATAAGGGTTGGCAGATTTAAAATAAATGAGGAGAAATTCTCTTTCTCAAAAAGGTCATGACTCTGTGGAATTCATTACCCCAGGATGCTGAGACACTGAGCAAATTTGGGGATGGATAAGCATATTTAATTAGTAACGAGTTGAAGAGCATTAGAGAGTGGCAGGAAAGTGGACTTGAGGCTGAGATGAGAGGAGATCAGCCACAGTTGTACAAATGGCACAGCAGGCTTGAGGGGCTTATACCCTCTATTGGGAAACCGATCTTTCGGTCCAACTAGTCCATGCCGAACATAATCCTAAACTAGTGCTACCTGCCTGCTCGTGGCCCATATCCCTCCAAACCTTTCCTTTTCATGTACTTATCCAAATATCTTAAGTGCTGTAATAATACCCACATCCACAGACGAAGCTTGTCCCTTAGATTCCATTAGGAAAGCACAGAAAGCTCAGGACAGTAGCGAGATTCTTTGATCAATTCCCCTTACCAATAAGCTACTGAAAGTTCTGGATGTTTTGTCTTAAGGGAGGAGTGCTCCCTGACTCTAACAAAATAAAGTGAGCCAATTTTTGGTAAGGTTCAACAATTACAATTTCATTTATAGATACTCCCTTAATTCTGATCAAGGCAGCAAGCCATTAAAATATTGGCTAGAGATGAGAGCAAGTTAGTCACTGATGCTGGCTGGTAAAGTTTGTCTTCCAAAGGAACTGATGAAAGAAAACTTAATTGGTGGTGAACGCAGAAGTTATAATCCAATCCCATGTACAAAGTTAGGTTAAAAGAGAGACTCAAGTGGAGATGATGTATTCGGAGTAATGCATCAAATTCCTACAAAAGGAACCGATGTTGATATTTTGGAGAGTGGCTTGGCTGGCTCCTTCAAAAACATTAACCTCACTAAGAACGTTAGAGCAACTGGACAAAGTGAAAGAAACATAAAACTATAAGAGTAGCAATGTCCTGGGATTGTTTCTGAACTGCAAGGTGATTAAATCTCAGGTCCCACAGGCTTCTCTTCCTGTCTAATTCCATGAAAATGATAATGCAAATTCAATTATCTGATGCTATTTTCAAAAACAAAAATAAAAATTTAAAAAAAAAAAGAAAGAGAGAGAGAGGCCAACATATTTAACCTATCTTCTTTAATAGAAAAAGAAATGGATCTTGATTTGAGGGGTGAAAAAAAGAAAAAAACCGAACAACAAACAGCCTACTCAGAAATTGAGTTGGAACCAATGCTACAGTGCTACTATTTAAAAGACTAAATGTTAATGAGAAAATGGAGACCACCTCACAAAAGAAGATTGAGCCATGAAACCCAAAGACCATGATTACAACCTATTATCAGTTAGGTCCTAATGATGGGAATTATTTCATTCTATTGTTACTGTTTGCCATTGCAGCAGTCCCCAAAATGGCACTACTGTTTATTTTGAACTGATAATAATAATAGTGGACAGTGAGAAGACCTCAAATTAAAGAAATCTTTATACACTAAATCTCAGACTACACTTCAGACTTCTGTCAAATGTGTGGAAAAATAGCCAAAACCAATTTGCAAATTGGCCAAACAATTTGAAATGCACTCAACAACGAAAGCTGGAGCAGATAAAGAGGCAATGCTCAAAAGTCTTGTTGCAGGAGATAAAGGGTATTACATTTTGTGCCCCGCCCCGATAAACCATTAAAAAAAAAGACATTGAAAGGGTGCATCCTCGGTGAGCTCAGTAGGCCAAACACAGTCTCCTACTCTGCTGCACTAGTGTATGATTCTATAATCTGCTCTATAATGGCATGTACCATCATTACATTTTCAGGAAAGCCCAGGCCATTGATACGGTCACACTCACCATTTGAAAACAAAGAAGATACTACAATTTAATCCTGAACCAAACTTTTAAAATCCAGATATCAAGTTACACATACTTAGACAGTTCCTTCATTTCTTCCTCGTGAAGTCGCCTTCTGTCATTTAATTCTTCAGGCAGGTATTGAATAATGAGTTCCTCTGTCAAGAACGTCTTATTGAAAGCTCTTGTTACCAAATACTACAAATGAAAAGAGAAGTTTTAACAGTACTATTGAATCAATTTGAACGAGTAAACATGCAAGACTCATTTAAAAATAAAAAGCATTTGATATTTACAGGGTCTTAAAAATGCTATTTTCATGCAATTACTGGAACACATTTGTCAAGTCTTATTTTAGTTTTTGAGGTTGTAGACCCGTTCGCCGAGCCGGTGGGTTTGGTTGCAAATGTTTTGTCACCCTGCTGTTTTGTACAAACCACTGAGAAACAACCAGAAATAATACCAACCACCCCCAGCAAACCGAGGCATGTAAATAACAAGTGGGACAGAACACCAGAACTTCACCGGAGGCGCACTGATGTTACCAAGCAGGGTGACAAAACATTTGCAACCAAACCTACCGGCTCGGCGAGCAGGTCTACAACTTCATCCACGACCAGAGGTACAAATCTTCTCAAACTTATAGTTTTTAAATTAAAGCAGAAGTAGTACACAAAAACTGAACAAAAAAACCAAGGCAAGCCAAAGAGGAGCAAACTACTGCAGATGCTGGAATCTGTACTGAAAACAAATGCTGGAGGATCACAATGGGTCAGATAGCATCCATGGAGAGACAGCAAGCTAACATTTCAAACCTAGATGACTCTTCAGAGCTCTGAAGAACAGTCATCTAGATTCAAAACATTAACCTGTCTCTCCATGGATGCAGTCTGACCCACTCATTTCCAGCATTTGTTGTTTCCAGGCAAATGAGAGAGCTAAATGCCTCAAGTTGATTACTGCAAGGATTGACATTTTAAAAGAGTTGAAGCCTACAATCTATTCCCTATTGCTAAAATACTTGCCATTATATTTGAATTCAAGTTAGATCTAGGCTTTCAGACTTCCAAACGTCAGAATGCCCTCCAAACTGGAGTGACACGCACACACTTAGTTTTTATTTACCTTGTGACATCTTAAAATGTACAATTAAGACTAAATGCTAGTAGCACATTCCAGGAGAGCATCATCCCATTGGAAATCAGTGACCATCCCAATTACAATTTGTCTCTGCTTCTATCATTACTTCTACCATCTGAACGTTTACAGGCCAGGTGAAAATCTAACATCTGAATGAGCTCATGCAAGTGTGGAGCTCCAGTGCTACTTGTTTTATGGAGAATTTTAGCTTTAAAAGAAAAAAAAAACGTAGAGAAGATATGCAAGAAAAGTATCCGATGCTGTCACTATTAACAAAGATTAGTATTGCAAAAATTGCATTTTAAAGAATCAATGTCAAACAGATTAAGTTTTCTTCTCACACCTGAATTTATCTAAAAGAGGAAATCTTCAAGTTTAAAACCTGAGCAAGTTGACTGTTCTAAAGTTCCTTGCAATAATTAACTTCTGTTAACAATGCCTTACTTCAATGAGAAACTAAAATTTAAATGGTTGTCAAAACAATGGAATTCTTCTCCATCTTTTATGAGTACTAATTTTGTCTGCAATTATAAAACACACTAAGAAGCACTGCATGCACAACTCTAACCTCAGCTAAGTTTTCTTTACAGAGTGGGCAGCTAGCATTATGATCCAGACAGCGCTCCAGACACTTCAAACAAAAGGTGTGCCCACATGAAGTAGTGACAGGTTCATAGAATAGCCTATGGAAGAATTAAAAAAAAAAAAATTTTCAAAACTTCATATCTATGTGATATAAAATATTCTAATACATGCAGGTCAAATTGGAAATAAATTTTTTTAAAAAGTTTTAAACTTGTATCATTATCCAATTTTTTGGACTGACACGCCAATATCTGCTGCTACTATGGTCATTCAAGCTTAGAAGAAAAACTACTTCAGGCTGTAAATCATTCAGGCCAAGTACACGTCAACATATGCAATATTTTTGCACTTTGGATAGAGATAAATTCTCAGTTCTTAAAATGAGAATTTTTACTTTTCTCCTTCAGAGTTCAAGAAAAGTGCAAAATGAAAAGCTGACAAATTATCTGTAATGAGGTAACATCCCAACAGTACAGAGAGAGTTTGTCCTGCCAGGGTTCAGAATTTGATTTCCATTCTATGAATAATCTGTAAAGCCACATTGGTAATTTTAATTATTACTGCCAACATCAAATGGCGTAGGTGAAACCAGAACTTTGAGGACAATAGAAAAATATGGACTTTGGGCAAGTGAAGCCAAAATTGCCAGGTGGTCTTTACCACATTAAGGGCACCAAATATAACACAAAATGGTTGTAGATAGCAAAAGGGAGTGAGACTTGGCATCTTGGACTGTACTATTCAGACTCCTTGTTACAAAAAAGGTAATACAACAATAAAGTGATAATCTCATTTGGATACCACCCAACTTTGGCTCCCCACATCTTAACAGTTTCAATATTGTGATTCTATTTCTTTTTCCCCCCAAGAAAGCTTTAATTCTGGAAAAAAGGTGATTCACAGTAAAGCTAAATTATTTTGAATAATGACTTTAAGCCGCAGAACTTGCAGGATTGCCCATAAAAAAAAAGGTATCACAGGAGGTGTCGAGAGAACTCAAATTATCTCTTTGGTTTTCTGCACCTCAAAGAAGGTTAAGCATTTGTACATTGGGATTACACAACACTTTCCACTACTACCATAGTTTATATAGTATCATTAATATAATAAAATGATTCAAAGTCTATCAAGGGGCAGCATGTCAGAAAATTGGAGGGGATTTTAAAAAAATCTTAGTGATACTTGGGTAAGCAGTACGGAACAAGGGAGGTGGGGGGAGAAAAAGCATAGGAGGGATGAAACGAGACAAAAGGAGGTCCCAAAAGGAGGAGATAGTACGACGGAGTAGGGACACAACCAAGTCCAATTTAAGAATAACGACAAAAATTACTGATGTTGGAGTGAGGTATACAATCGAAAACATAGCTAGACCTTCAGCAACAGGAGAAAGGTCTCATCACCCCTCATCATTTTTCCATTAAGGTTATGCACGACACCAGTGTGAGCACCCACAATAAACTCATGGGCGGCAAGATCCTTATTTACAACTGAACGCTGATTTAAAGGGCAGTGGGGGCTTGATGGAGGGGAAAATGTGCAGACATAATAGCTGATCCAATGAGAAAGTCAAAAGGGTCAGAGTTGGGATCAATGGAAGGGACAGGAAATGTTGTAGTCTTCACAGTTAAAGACAGGGATAGCATTCTAAAATTACTAAATCATCAAAAAAAGGGCAAAAAGGAGAGGAAATAAATACAATAACTAATCAATAGGAGGGAGGAAAAAGGAAGTGGTAGGGAAACTAGTGGAGCTGAAGACTGAAGTCCCCAGACCTAATAGGATGCATCCTAGGATTTTAAAAGGAAGTAGCCCCAGAAATAGTGGATGCACAGGTAGTAATCTTCCAAGAATCCTTAAGTTCTGGAAAAGCTCAGGCCCCAGAGAAGTGGAAAGCTTCAATTGTAATACCTTTATTTTAAGAAAGCAGACCAAATCAAGGGAACTATGGGCAGGTTAATTTAATGTCTGTTATTGGAAAAATATTTGAGTCTAAGATATTGGAACAGAGCATTTAGAAATATGTTCAAGCAGAGTCAACATGGCTTCAGGAAGGGGAAAATCATGCCTGTCAAATTTTACAGAACTGAGGTGGTAATAATCAGGGGAAATAAAAAATAATCAGTGTAATCTCTTTTTATTTTCAGAAGACGTTTGATAAGTAGCTGAATATGTGGTACCTTAAGAGGGAAAAAAAAGCCCATGGTATTGGAGGTAGTATGGATAAAGGCTTGGCCAACTAATAAAAGACAAGAACAAGAATAAAAACAAAAACAAAGCTGCTGGAAAAGCTCAGGAGGTCTGGCAGCATCTGTGAAGGAAAAACAGTTAACATTTCAGGTCTGGTGACCCTTCCTCAGAATTGACAAGAATTGGGAGATAGGGGACATTTTCAGGATGGCAACCTGTAACAAGTAAAGTTGCCACAGGAATCAGTGATGGGGTCACAATTATTCATCATATATATTAATCATTTATATGAGGTAAGTGAATGCAGTATAGCCAAGTTCATGAAGGAGGAAACAAATTATGGTAAGGCAAGTGGGGAGGATGACAAAAAAAAGAAAAGGAGGAGATACAGGGATATAAGCCAGGTTAAGAAATATACAAAAACTTGGCAGTTGGAATATAATCTCAGAAAATTGAGGTTATGCACTTTGGCAGGAAGATCAGCTGAATGCCATTTAAAATGGAGAAAGACTGCAAAAAGCCATAGGAAGTGATTTGGGATTCCTCGTATATGAATCACTAAAAGTCAGCATCCAAATTCAGTAGGTAATAGGAAAAAGCAATTGGAATGTTGGCCTTTATTTCAATTGTTCCCCTTATACAAGGGGAGGCAGTTCAGAGAAGGTTCATTAGGCTGATACTGGGTATGGAGGGGCTGTCTTATGAGGGAGATCGAGTAAGTGGAGTCTGGACTCATTGGAATTAAGCAGCACGAGAAGTGACCTCATTGAAACGTCCACAATTCTTAGCGTATTTGATAGGGTTATGCAAAAAAAAAAAAAAAAAAACATTTCCCCCTTGTGGGGGAGTCTAAGAACAGAGAGCCCAATCTCAGAGTATGTGGCCAAGTATTTAAAGACATAGAAGCGGCATTTCTTCTCTCAGAAGGTAGCAAATCTAACGGATTCTTTATTGCACAGGGCTATGAGACTGTGTTGTTAACTATATTCAAGACTGTGATAGACAGATTCTCTTAGCAATTTAGAAATCACGGGCATGGGAAAGAGATAGAAAAATGGAGTTGAGGGCCATTAGATCAGCCATGATCTTATTGAATGGCAGAGTAGACTTTAATGGACTGAATGGCCCATTTCTGCTCCCTTAGTGTGACAGCCAAGTGCTTTGGCCAAGTCAGCTGAATGCACCAGAGCATAAAAGGTTCCTGGTGGGTATTCCAAAATACTGAACCTGCAGTATGTGGCCAAACAAACAAACATTCTATATAATGAAAGCAACCTTCTTAAAAACTCGGAATTTTTTTTTTTTAGAAAAAAAGAAAAGTAGTGAAAACCTGGATTAGTCCCAATTCTTAAAGGTTTTCCCAAAAAAGCCTCTTAGTAGCCTCTTGGGCAGCATGGTGGCTCAGTGGCTAGCACTGCTGCCTCACAGCACCAGGGACCCGGGTTCAATTCCGCCCCAGGGAGACTGTCTGTGCGGAGTTTGTACATTCTCCCAGTGTCTGCATGGGTTTCCTCCGGGTGCTCAGGTTTCCTCCCACAGTCCAAAAGATGTGCAGGGTAGGTGGATTGGCCATGCTAAATTGCCCATTTGGTGTCCAGGGATGTTTAGGTTAGACATGGGGAAAATGCAGGGGTAGGGGAACGAGTTGGAGTGGGATGCTCTTCCGAAGGGCAGTGTGGACTTGTTGGGCCAAATGGCCTGTTTCCACACTGTAGGGATTCTATGAATTCTATGAATTCTATTCTATGATAGCCTGAAGCTGTTTCGATTTCACACAAAACATATTTCAGCACTAAATCAAAAGGATCGTCTATACTGAAAAGTTCCAAATTGATTTCAAAACCAAAAATTCTACATTTCATACAGAAAAATACTTGTTTCTGAATAACTTATTGTAGAAATATTTGGAAGAAACATTTAAAGAGAAAAACAAAACAAAAAAAGAAAAAAACAAAATACCTCATACAGAGAGAACATTCAAAATCGAACGGATCCACAAGTTCACTGGGAATCTCTCTTGACGCTTTAAAATTGTCAAATGTCAAGGGTACAAATTCATCTGATTTAGAAAGAGAAGAATTGTATTTTTTAAAACCACAATAATTACCAAAAAAAAAAACCGTAGCTTCCTTCTAGTAGTCTCACTTTTAGCAAAATGAAAATTTAAGGGAGTTTCAAAATAATCATTCATTTCATCTTGGGAAATCTCTGCAAGAGGTCATCATAAATTTAATTTTTGAACAATCCAGCTCCAGCCACCAACCAGAAAGCATCAAGGAATGATTGTGTATCAGGCGTATGTGGACAGACTGCCTGCCGACATGTATACCATTGATCCAGAAAATTTTCTGGTTGGCAGGAGTTTATAATGATCAAAATTGGAACACACTATGCAGCCATTTAGCCTATCACATCTGTGCTTTTAAAATCTTGACTTTCCATGCACCATGTTTACTCCAGAGTCAATTTTTGCCATTATAAATTCCAACAGACTCAACTAACAGAAGAAAATATTCATGCAAATTTGCCACATTTCATTTTCATTATCTAACTACAGGGTGGTTTTCTGCCTACATTGTAAACACTTTAACAAGTGAAGTGAAGCTTCCACATCTCACCAACTGCTGTTTTATTTGCAGGCAAAGAAAAAAGTCACTTTTTATGTTTCATATTTTGACCAAGTTGCACTTACAAAGCTATGAATTAGGAGCAAGAGTAAATAGTGCCCTCGAGCCCAGTACACCACACAATCGTGGCTGATCCAATTAGTCCACATTCCAACCTACCTCCTTGCTTAAGCAAGGTTCTGTTTAGTCTGCCTTAAACATATCCAGAGAGGCACTCCCAAATATGAAACGTCAAAGTGTCAAACCTTTTTTTGCCATTTTGCTGGTTGTTTCGATGCTCTCACAGAGATCTGTCTCACATGATAGCTTTCTCTTTTGGTTGCCGTTACTAAAACCAGATGGAACTGCTTCAACGAGCACAGAGGTTTCACCTGGTGTAGCCTTGGACTTTGTGAGTATTTGACTTGATGTATTTCGTTCTGGTGCTGTAATATTGTTCATTTTGGAAAAAACCTAAGAGGAGAAAACATGCAAGGTACTTCACAATTTAAAATTCAAAATTCAGAGAGGCACATTTATCAACAGTCTTAAATGTAAAAAAAAAGGTCAGTTGACAATACAGTCAAGATTCCTTCCTATAAATCTAAATAATTAATGCACAAGTTACTGAATAACTGCAGTCTCAAATCAAATTTTTCTACAGATAGTAGAGTATCACCTCCACTCAAAATTAGCATGCACAAGAGACTAAAATCAAGCTGATTTTAATGTGTACAACATTCTACATGTTCAGTTTGGATTGATCCTTTGGCTCAATAATTCCACTTTCCTTCAGCTTCCTACTACAAAAAGGGTCAAGTGGAACCTAAACATCATCTGATCCAAAACAAAAAAGAAAAGACACACAAATTAAGCTCTATAGGCATTGCTGAAGAAAATAGAATACAAATGTGAAGACAACAAATTTAAGCAGTTTGTTTGCACTAAACTATGCCTATCTTTATAAATACTTTAAAAGTTTAAACATACCTGAGAAGGTGCAGCAACTGTATCATCTCTGGCAACTGATGTGGGACTAAAAGTGCTGAGAAAAGTAGGTTTAGGTCTTAAACAAGATGACTGTGGTCGCTTGTTGGTTGGTAGAGTATCTGGCATATTCTCCAAAACAGGTGAAAACATATCACATAATATCTAAGGCAAAAATTATAGTTAATATTTTATTGGATTATCCAAGATGCACAGTCAAATAGAATATTTTGAAAGTTAAGCTGCCAATCACATTTGACCAGTTGTATAGGAGAATAATTTTTAACCAAGTATATAATCGAATCATACAACAACAATACAAGTCACTTTTGGTCTCATTATATTTCTGTTGTGTTTGTGACCAACACTAGATGACCAATAATCAGCACAGCTGTGCCCAGCTGGGAACATATTTGGTCAAAAGATTTTGATGGTCAAGTCAAATAAAAGAAAAATTACCTTTTGTGCTTCGAGTCTTACAGAATTCCAGTCTGGTTTCAAAGCAATGCAGTATATATACTCCTTTAAAGCTTCTTCAGTTCTGCCCATTTTAACCAGAGCTTGAGCTTTCCAAAAATGCGCCTATCAGGAAGAGAGACAAAAATTTGAACAATTAATCACAATTTGAGCAGCGTCAACTGTGCAATTTAAAAACACAAAATTAAGACAAATTGTGAACAAAAAAAAAAAAAATAAAAAACCCTTATATAATACAAAGCAATACCTTTGTCTTTAGTGGTTTAAGTGCACATGCTACATCTCCATCACAAAGTGCTTCCTTGTATTTTCCTGTAGTTACATATAGCTCAGCACGATAACATCTCACCAAGTAGTCATGAGGTACTGAAGAAATAGAGGGTACAATTTAAGATGTCTTAATGTAAGATTAAATATTGTTGACTATACCTGCAGTATTTAATAATTTGCTCTGTACATCCAGCTGGTAGCACGTTAACCATTTGTTTATAAAAATATTTCAAAACTTTCCGCTTTCACATTATCTGGATCGCAGAAAACCGTAAAGTCAGTCAAGTCTAACCAGCACTTTTTGAAATCAGCCAAAGTTTCACTTTTTCAATAAACAGCAACAACTAATTGATTTCCTCATTAAACACATCCCTTTATTCTATTTAGTATGCAGCAAGATGCATCATGTAACTACGATTGAGAGCGCTACCAGATTCTTATACTGCTACAAATCAGTTTATGATTAATTGCTAAAACCAACTCAAATGACACCAACTTCTGTAATGCCCAGCATGTACCCGTCCTCTAAAACAGTGAATTCTTCAAGCAACCAAACAGACAGTTACAAAAATATTTTGCCATTTAATAATTGGAGGTGAGAATTTCAGCAAAACAAAATTCACCAGAATTGCCTATTAGGGAGAAACTGCTGGAGACTGTGCTACCAAGGTACAACAGCTGGCACTCGGAATTACAAACTGCATAAGGATTAAAATATAATAGAAACTCATAAATAAATAGTCAAGAAAACGCATTTAAAGCTGCGTAAATATAACCGTCAAATCTCAACAAAAAAGCCCAAATTTCATGTATAGAATACTTTTATGTAGAATCTTAACCATGCACATCCAATGCAGAGAACATCTGACATACAAAACCATTTTACCAATCTGAATATCTAAACAGTATTGTAGTTTTTTCAAAATCTATGAAACTACTATGTGAAAGTGTTGATCAACTGTCTATAAATGTGTGCTCAAAGTGGGCTATTGCCCATTGACTTGCAAGTAGGTTATCATTCAATTAGCAAACAATAGTGAACCAAGTACATTTCCTTGAAAGCTGATTAATCACTCAATCAGGATTAAAATGGATTTTATTCAGAATTAGCACTGGATATTCTTAACCTAGTCAGCAGTTGTGAATTGGAACATTAGGACGAACAAAACAAAACAAAAAACAAAAATCACTAATCTTAGTAACATTCATGAAAATACATGATCTGCTGGACAGCATCCATCACTATATTTACATGTTGAAAAAACCCATTAGGATATTTCCTTGTAGCAAAGCCTACATTGAGCAGCTCTTGCATTTTCTTCAGGTCTCAGGTAAACAGATCTAAAGTCCAAGTATGTTTCTCTCTCCCTCCCCAAAGATGATGCCATCTTATACTCTAGAAGGTTAGAGTCTTACAACAGTAATTCACAGTATATTTAATATAGAAAAATGTCCCAAGGTGTGTGAAAAAGTGTGCGGTCAGACAAAAAAGAAATGGCTCCCAACTTAAAAGAAGACAATAGCACATGATTTTAAAAAAACTCAATCCAAGAGATAACATGGAGCACCCAAATGGCATGGCACTAATAACAGGGTAAAATGGATGTCATGAATAAGTGCCCACGGCTGTAAAACTGTTACTTCAAAAGGCTAAAGGATTGTAGGTAGCTACAGATTGCAGGGATAAATCATTATAGGATTTGAACACATTATGAACATCAGTGAACCAAGCAACAATGGAAGTCAATATGCAGAGAGGGGATGGGAAACAAATTAAAAAGGAGCAGACAGGGGGCTTTTAAAAAAAAAGCCAGTTGGACATGGAAATAAAAACCTGGAGTTATCTTTACATTCTAGATTGATTCTAGATTGATCCTAGAGTTTCAGGGCAGGATTGGCTAAGAATTTATTATGGACTGCATCTCAGACCTTCAAAGTTTAATGAAAGATATTAGCTTTTGCTCTCAGCAAATCGAACATTTTGATTTTCTGAATTTCCAGATCCAAAGTACATTGTCTGAAACTACGATACTTTCAAGATTAGAAAACAGATTACAAACAAAACCCTCAGAATTGAGTGGAAGACAAATCTTCCATAAATGAAGTAATCATGTTGGACTATTATTGTGCTAAATGGGATAAATTATCTGTTCCCAATAAGTGAGGCAGACAAACATACAAGGGTAGGGTTTATACAATTAATGGTAAGGCCTTCTGTATTATTTATAGAACAGAGGGACCTAGACATGCAGATACATAGTTCTTTGAAGTTTGTGTCACATATAGACAGGTGGTCAAAAAGGCACGCTTGCCTTCATTGCTCAGTCCTTTGAGTATAGGAGTTGGAAAGTCATGGAGGTTGTATAGGAGATAACAAGGTGTAGAGCTGGATGAACACAGCAGGCCAAGCAGCATCATAGGAGCAGGAAGGCTGACGGTTCGGGCCTAGATCCTTCATCAGAAATGGGGGAGGGGAAGGGGGTTCTGAAATAAATAGGGAGAGAGGGGGAGGTGGATAGAAGATGGATAGAGGAGAAGATAGGTGGAGAGGAAACGGACAGGTCAAAGAGGTGGGGATGGAGCCAGTAAAGGCGAGTGTAGGTGGGGAGGTAGGGAGGAGATAGGTCAGTCCAGGGAGGACGGACAGGTCAAGGGGGCAGGATGAGGTTAGTAGGTAGGAGATGGGGGTGCGGCTTGAGGTGGGAGGAAGAACAGGTTAGGGAGGCAGGGACGAGCTGGGCTGGTTTTGGGATGCGGTAGGGGGAGGGGAGATTTTGAAGCTTGTGAAATCCACATTGATACCATTGGGCTGCAGGGTTCCCAAGCAGAATACGAGATGCTGTTCCTGCAATCTTCGGGTGGTATCGTTGTGGCACTGCAGGAGGTGGGGAGGAGAGTTGCGGTCCTTGAAAAACAAGGACATCTGAGTTGTATGGGAGTGGAATGCCTCAGACTGGGAGCAGATGCGGCGGAGGTGAAGGAATTGGGAATAGGGGATGGCATTTTTGCAGGAAGGTGGGTGGGAGGAGATATATTCGAGATAGCTGTGGGCTTGAAATGGATATTGGTTTCGAGGTGGTTGCCCGAGATGGAGACAGAGAGGTCCAGGAAGGAGAGAGGGGTATTGAAGATGGTCCAGGTGAACTTAAGGTTGGGGTGGAAGGTGTTGGTGAGGTGGATGAACTGTTCGGGTTCCTCGTGGGAGCACGAGGCGGCGCCGATACAGTCAATGTAACTGAGGAAGAGGTGGGGTTTAGAGCCAGTGTAGGTATGGAAGAGGGATTGTTCCACGTAACCTACAAACAGGCAGGCATAGCTTGGGCCCCATGTAGGTACCCATGTCTGTAGGAAGTGGGAGGAATTGAAAGAGAAGTTGTTGAGGGTGAGGACAAGTTCGGCTAAGCGGATGAGGGTGTCAGTGGAGGGGGACTGGTTGGGCCTGTAGGCCATCTGCATGGGGAATGCAGGTGTATAGGGACTGGACGTCCATGGTAAAGATGAGGTGTTGGGGACCGGGGAATTGTAAGTTCTGGAGGAGATGGAGGGCGTGGGTGGTGTCACGGACGTAGGAAGGGAGTTCCTGGACCAAGGGGGAGAAAATGGAGTCTAGATAGTTGGAGATAAGTTCGGTGGGGCAGGAGCAGGCAGAGACAATGGGTCGACCAGGGCAGTCAGGTTTGTGGATTTTGGGAATGAGATAGAAGCAGGCAGTGCGGGGTTCAGGAACGATGAGGTTGGAGGTCACCTGAGGTGATGAGGTTGTGGATGGTTTGACAGATGATGGTTTGGTGCTCGGGGGTGGGGTCATGATCAAGGGGGCGGCAGGAGGAGGTGTCAGAGAGTTGGTGTCTGGCCTCGGCGATGTAGAGGTCAGTGCGCCATACTACAACTGCGCCTCCCTTGTCCGCGGGTTTTATGGGGAGGTTGGGATTGGAGCGGAGGGCTGCACGTTCTGCGGGGGAAGAGGTTGAGGCGATTGGTGTCACAGCGGCAGTTGGAGATGAAGAGGTCGAGGGAGGGTAGGAGGCCTTGGGGTGGTGTCCAGGAGGAGGGGGTGTGTTGGAGGCGGGAGAAGGGGTCAGTAGAGGGAGGGTGAGGTTCACAGTTGAAGTAGTAAGCGTGGAGGCAGAGGCAGTGGAAAAACTGCTCAATGTCCAAACGTGACCGGTACGCATTGATGTGTGGGTGGAGGGGGACAAAGGTGAGGACTTTTCTGGAATACTGTGCCCATTTTCTGTCATTTAGTTGTAGAAGGATATTATTAAGCTGGAGGGGGTTCAGAAGAAGTTTACCAGGATGTTGCCGGGCATGGAAGGTTTAAGTTAAAAAGAAAGGCTGGATAGGCTGGTTCCTTTTCCACTGGAGCATAGGAGGTCGAGAGGCGACCTGATTATTTTATAAAATAGTGAGGTATAGATACAGTTAATGGTAGTTGTCTTTTCCCTAGGATGGGGGATTTCAAGATGAGGGGGCTTTTTTTTTTTAAAAAAAAAAAGATGACAGGAGATTTTAAAACAAGAAAACAAAGGCAATTTTTTTGGAAAATCAGAGGGTGGTTTGTGTGTGGAATGAACATCCTGAGGAAGTGGTGGATGCAGATACAACTAAAACGTACCAATCCAAAATGTCTTTTAAACATGAATAGGAAAGGTTGAGGGATATGGGCCAGGAGCAGGCAGATGAGACTAGGTTAGTTTGGGATTGTTTGGCATGGGCTGGTTGGATTAAAGGGTCTGTTTCCATGCTGTATGACTATGACATTTGGTTCAACGGTACATTAGCCATTTGAGTCAAATGGCTATTGACTTACTTGTACAAGCCTCATAGGTGCATAGAAGATACAGGGATAAATAGCTTTGTCTTTGGGAACTTCTAAATGGTTTCTATAACATGACGTTCATGTCACTACATTCACACTTATTTTCATCTTTTCCAAAGATTAACAAAGTATAGTTGGCTGTGAGATAGAGGTAGCAAGTACTGGAGATGCTGGTGTCACAGACAATACAATAGAGCTAGAGGAACACAGGTCAGACAGCATCAGAGGAGCAGGAAAGTCGATGTTTGGGTTTACACCCTTCATCAGGCTGTGTTTG